GGGGGTGACGGGTGATGAAGTGACGTCACGCGGCTCGCTCATTGGCTTGAGGGGGGGGGTGACGGGGTGATGAAGTGACGTCACGTGACTCGCTCATTGGCTTGAGGGGGGGGGTGACGGGTGATGAAGTGACGTCACGTGACTCGCTCATTGGCTTGAGGGGGGGGGTGACGGGTGATGAAGTGACGTCACGTGACTCGCTCATTGGCTTGAGGGGGGGGGGTGACGGGTGATGAAGTGACGTCACGTGACTCGCTCATTGGCTTGAGGGGGGGGTGACGGGTGATGAAGTGACGTCACGTGACTCGCTCATTGGCTTGAGGGGGGGGGTGACGGGTGATGAAGTGACGTCACGTGACTCGCTCATTGGCTTGAGGGGGGGGGGTGACGGGTGATGAAGTGACGTCACGTGACTCGCTCATTGGCTTGAGGGGGGGGGTGACGGGTGATGAAGTGACGTCACGTGACTCGCTCATTGGCTTGAGGGGGGGGGGGTGACGGGGTGATGAAGTGACGTCACGTGACTCGCTCATTGGCTTGAGGGGGGGGGTGACGGGTGATGAAGTGACGTCACGTGACTCGCTCATTGGCTTGAGGGGGGGGGGGTGACGGTGATGAAGTGACGTCACGTGACTCGCTCATTGGCTGAGGGGGGGGGGGGGTGACGGGTGATGAAGTGACGTCACGCGGCTCGCTCATTGGCTTGAGGGGGGGGGTGACGGGTGATGAAGTGACGTCACGCGACTCGCTCATTGGCTTGAGGGGGGGGGTGACGGGGTGATGAAGTGACGTCACGCGGCTCGCTCATTGGCTTGAGGGGGGGGGTGACGGGGTGATGAAGTGACGTCACGCGGCTCGCTCATTGGCTTGAGGGGGGGGGTGACGGGGTGATGAAGTGACGTCACGTGACTCGCTCATTGGCTTGAGGGGGGGGGGGTGACGGGGTGATGAAGTGACGTCACGCGGCTCGCTCATTGGCTTGAGGGGGGGGGGGTGACGGGGTGATGAAGTGACGTCACGTGACTCGCTCATTGGCTTGAGGGGGGGGGGTGACGGGTGATGAAGTGACGTCACGTGGCTCGCTCATTGGCTTGAGGGGGGGGGGTGACGGGGGTGATGAAGTGACGTCACGCGGCTCGCTCATTGGCTTGAGGGGGGGGGTGACGGGTGATGAAGTGACGTCACGTGACTCGCTCATTGGCTTGAGGGGGGGGGGGTGACGGGTGATAAAGTGACGTCACGTGACTCGCTCATTGGCTTGAGGGGGGGGGTGACGGGTGATGAAGTGACGTCACTACGGAATCTCTTGAGAATGCGGGGGGGGGGGGATATCGATTTAAAACTTTCGTGACTGCAGGGATTCATCTTCTTAATCGTCTTGGTTCTTTCGGTAAAGTCGCGTAGAATGGAAAAAAAAAACATAATTGTATTATGTAAATTTGTTATTATTTTATTATTAAAATAACAAAAATAAAACATAATTGTATTATGTTAAAATATTATTATTTTATTAATCCCATAAATAAATACAAATATCACATAATAAAATAATAACATTATGTTTTATATTTATTATTTTTTCATTTCCATTCTCCGTGACTTTACCGAAAGAACCAAGAAAATGCGGGTAGAGTGTTTGGTGACGTCACTCCGTTAAGAGCTCAAGTTGATACGTGGTGACGTCACTACGTAAGCTCTTGACGGGGGGTGCGGTGGCGTTTTCAAGGACAGTGCATAACATGATCAGAGTTGTGTGTTTTGTTTGTATTATGACTGCAGGTATTGTGGTCTATGCAAACATGACTCCTTGTAAAATGGTGTCAGTTTTGTTGCCAGATAGAAGGGTAAATAAACAATTATGATTCTGTGTCATGCAGTAGATGAACTATAGACGCCAGTAATGCGAGTGCGTCCTACAGGCACAGGCACGCTCCCTGCTCCTCACCCACACGCGGGTTCTCTGTGTCACTGCCATTGCTCTCATGTGACACTTGGTCGCATGGACGACTGGTACATTTTGAGCCTTTTTTGAGCGTGGCCCAAAACAACATTGTTTCTTCGAGTCCAGATGGGTCTCAGTCTGCCACTCACCTCACCCTGGGGTTTGCTGTCTGGGTTCGATCCGAACGGTCTGGGAATTTGTCACCTGTCTTTGAAAGCGTTGCTGAAATTGATTTGAACCACCGAGATCTGGTTATCGGTATTGTCTTGAATAGTTTTTATATAAAAAATAAAAATTCAACAAGAGCCCGTCACAGAGCACGAGGGAGGGCGAGAGAGAGGGAGGGGGTACAGGTGTTCCACGGACGATAATACAAAGGCCCGGGCAAGAGAGAGAGGGGGGGGGGCAGGTGGGTGGGCTGACTGCTCTACTGACGTACTGGGGACAACGGTTCGGGTAACGTGGTCTTTTTAAGGGAGGGGGGTGAGACTTGTGTTGAACGTTATTACACTCTGTTCTGCTGTAACGCGTGTTGTTTTCGTGACGAGATTCATGTATTGGGGAACTTACATATAAAGCGGATGCGAATTGGATAGAACGCAGATGCAAAGTGGATACAACGAGATCGAGTGAACAGAACCACGTAGCGTCGCACGAAGCGTTGGGATGCTGCTGGATGCTTCTAGATCCGCTACCCACGCGCCCTCAGTCTTTGTCCAGCCTGCGGACGCATCTCGCGTGTGATCGCGGACTGTGCCTTTACCCTGTATCATAGATCAGTTCTTCTCGCGCGATGTTTCTCTAACGCGTTGTTCGTCAGGAATGCCACTGCCGCGTTTTCGTAGAACGACAGCGTGGAGGCAGCGCACGCGGTGGCACGCTTTGGCCCAACGAGACGAATCCTTCATTCAGACATCGTCAAAGTAAACCGTCTTCCAGTCGATCCTAAACAAGTAAACCCGTAAAAACAAAGTTTTTCACTCTAAATCCTTTATATGCGTGGCGGCTAGAGTCCTCTCGTCCTCTGGCTTGAGATGGCTGCCACCTATGGGTCAGATGATTGTCTGCCACTATTAAGCAATTGGTAATTAAATATTTAATTTGTTTTCCCTAAACAGTGTAAAATTTTGGAAATTATTTTTCACGAAAATTAATTGTCACACACAACGAGTCTGTGTGGAAAATGTCAGCTCGATTGGATCACGGGAAGTGGGTTAAAAAACGAGCGAAAAATTTGCACGGTCCTAAGCAAGCAAGCGAACTTAATATAAAGGATTAAAAAATATATTCGCCTGTGGAGGACGCGGGGATCGATCCCGCGACCTTTGGCATGGGAAGCGAGGGCGCTACCAACTGCGCTACTCCGCCACGGCCTGTGGAGGGGTTACGCTCTGGGCTCCTACACTGTGACGTTCAGCCAAAGCGATGAATGAGTTCTATTTGAATATATGTAAAATATTTTTTTTTTGCCTAAAAAGTGTAAAATTTTGGGAATCTTTTTTCTCGAACATTAATTGTCTGGCACAACGAGTCTGTGTGGAAAATGTCAGCTCGATTGGATCACGGGAAGTGGGTTAAAAAACGACCGAAAGATTTGCACGGTCGTAAGCAAGCACGCAAGCGAACTTAATATAAAGGATTTAAAAAGGAGCGTGTAGATAGTTTTAAAATATAAGTTTTTGAATTTTTTTATGATAGAATATAGTCTGGTCATCGGTATGAGATAGCGATACCAAGTTTGCAGTCGATATCATATTGGGAAGTGTGTAAAATTTGAGCTACAAGATGTATTTTTTGAGGAATTTTGATTTAAAGCTTTTGTGACTGCAGGGATTCATCTTCTTGGTTCTTTCGGTAAAGCCATCACGTAGAAGGGAAATAATAAAGTAATAAAAATAAAACATCATGAAATAATATAATGTAAAAATATAATATAATAATAAAATATCTTAATATATTATATTATTTTATTATGTTTTATTTTTAAGGGAAATAATAAAACAATAAAAATAAAACATCATAAAATAATTCTCACGAAGTTTCAGACGCTGTCTTTCCGACAGACCTGTTCTTCACCTGAGGACGGCTGCTTGCGTTGTGGCCGAAACGTCGTGAGAATTGTATTTTCTGATGTTTTATTTTTATTATTTTATTATTTCCCTTCTACGTATTTTATAATAAAATAGTATTTTATAATATTTAATTTTTTTATTTATTATTTCCCTTCTAACGTATTTTATAATAAAATAGTATTTTATAATATGTAATTTTTTTTATTTTATTATTTCCCTTCTACGTATTTTATAATATTTTTATTTTTTTATTTTATGATTTCCCTTCTACGTATTGTATAATAAAATTTTATTTTATTATGTTTTTTTTCCTTATTTTATTATTTCCCTTCTACGTGACTTTACCGAAAGAACCAAGAAGACAGACGAAGTGAGTTAAATAAAATCTTGGTAATAAAAACGACGTTTCGGACCCAAAAAAAGCGGCCATCTTCAGGTGATAAATATTGCTTTTCTGTTGTGGCTTTAAGCAATTTATAAATAACACTTTTTACCCAGCAAACAAAAATTGTGTTACATAGTGTAATTAGTCGGCAGCGTTGTCGGGTTATATTAGCATGAATGAAACAAACATATAGCATTAAATAATCATCATTATCATTATAATATTAATAACGTAATATGGTCATTATGATAAGGTATCGAATTTAACTAATATATAACATTAAATGATACTCATTAGAATCATCTTACTATAATATTACTATAGTAATAATATACACCATTTAATTATCATAATTATAATCGTAATAATTACTTTAATAATATTATATCAATAACATTAAAGTTTACATTAGGGAGAGTGGGGGAGGGGGTGGGGGGGGAGAGGGGGGGAGTCCCTTATCCGCTCCACGATTTACAAACGCCTCTTCTCACCACCGCCGGCTAAAGCAGACTAGCGAATACACAGCCAATCCGCGCGGGGGATCCTCGTCACGTGCCCCGCCGCCGACCAATCAGCGCCAGGATCAGCTCACAAGCTTGGAGCCCGCCGAAGATTTTAAACGGGCGGAGAGAATTTTTTTGGGATTTTTAAATAAAGAGATGATTCCAATCCTCGCCGCGTTCTTCACGTAAGCGGAGGTGCGGGACCAGCATTAGACGCGAGCTTAATGAGGCTCGAGACCCACTGAGAGGTGAGCGGCTTTAAACGACGGTGCAGAGGCTAGGCCTCGCGCGGCCTCGACTAGTTTCCTAGCGGAGCCTGCGGCGGCAAGGCCTCGGTTGTGTGCGGCGAGTTTAGTTTTCTATTTCTTAACAGTTTTATTTTTGAACGGATTTCCTTTTTGAACGGTTTTAGTTCTTGAACGGTTTTAGTTAAATTGTTAAAGGTCGCTTTGGTGACGCGTGTCCTACGGGCAGCGTGAGTCTGGTGTTTGTTTGTGGTGCAGTGTTTTGAGTGTGGTAAGTGTTGAGTCTGATGCTGTGTTGAGTCTATGGTGCAGTGTTGTTAGTATTATCGGTATTGCTGAGTCTATGGGTAGTGTTGTTAGTATTATCAGCATTGTTGAGTCTATGGGTAGTGTTAAGTCTATGGGCAGTGTTGAGTATATGGGTAGTGTTGAGTCTGGGCAGTGTTGAGTCTGGGCAGTGTTGAGTCTATGGGTAGCAGTGTTGAGTCTATGGTGCAGTGTTGAGTCTATGGGGCAGTGTTGAGTCTATGGTGCAGTGTTGAGTCTATGGGGCAGTGTTGAGTCTATGGGTAGTGTTGAGTCTGGGCAGTGTTGAGTCTGGGCAGTGTTGAGTCTATGGGTAGCAGTGTTGAGTCTATGGGCAGTGTTGAGTCTATGGGGCAGTGTTGAGTCTATGGGTAGCAGTGTTGAGTCTATGGTGCAGTGTTGAGTCTATGGGGCAGTGTTGAGTCTATGGGTAGCAGTGTTGAGTCTATGGTGCAGTGTTGAGTCTATGGTGCAGTGTTGAGTCTATGGTGCAGTGTTGAGTCTATGGGGCAGTGTTGAGTCTATGGGTAGCAGTGTTGAGTCTATGGTGCAGTGTTGAGTCTATGGTGCAGTGTTGAGTCTATGGGCAGTGTTGAGTCTATGGTGCAGTGTTGAGTCTATGGGGCAGTGTTGAGTCTATGGCGCAGTGTTGAGTCTTTGTTTTTTGTTTGTTGCGGTTGCACCCGATTTAAGAGCCGAATGGCTCACAGGGCTACGTACCTAACGCGTGCAACTTTGAACTCTGAGGTGCAGGGCTACGATGAGCGCGGGCGGAGGGGGTGACAGCGTCTCACGCCAACCCCTCCGTGGGAGCTCCTCGTCAGCGCACAGCGGCGGCGGTGACAACGTTGCTCCGGCCGCAGACGAGAAGGGGGACGAGGAAGTGGAGGAGGAGGAGAGAACGGTGGAACAACAACAACAACAGCAGCAGCAACAACAACAACAGCAGCAGCAATGGCCACAGCAACCTACCAGCTTCACGGTGCAGCAGTATGTTGTGGGGCCGCAACAGGGTCTCCAGCAACAGCTCGCCAAGCCCGCCCTTCAGAAACTGATGGAGCAGCAACAGCAACAGCAGCAGCTGCTGTCGCCGCATGCGGTGTTGAAGCAGGGCCTGCAGCAGCAGCAGCAGCTGGTAGTGACTCAGCAGCAGCAGAAGGTGGTACTCCAACATGTAGCGCAGCAGCGGCAGCAGCAGCTTCCGCAGAAGATATTGAAACAGGTGGCGCAACAGGGCACGCAGCAGCAGTTGGTACAGCACAAGCAGCAGCAGCAGCTCATGCAACAGCAGGTGCTGCTGCAGCAGCAGCAGTTTATGTTGCAGCAGCAGCAAGTTCTTTTACAGCAGCAGCAAGTTCTTTTACAGCAGCAGCAGCAGCAACAGCAGCAGCAGCAAGTCTCCGCACCATGCGCTGTTCACCAAAGGTTCAAACAGGTGCCCTGCACGTCGTTCATACAGGTACGGCTGCAACGTCGCACGGACGTTGGCGCTGCGTGGAGGGCTGTTACGTGTGTGAGTGTGTGTGTGAGAGTGTGTGTGTGTGCGTGAGTGTGTGTGCGTGTGTGTGTGCGTGAGTGTGCGTGAGTTTGTGTGTGTGCGTGAGTGTGAGTGCGTGTGCGTGAGTGTGTGTGCGTGAGTGTGTGTGAGTGTTAGAGAGTGCGTGTGTGCGCGTGAGTGTGCGCGTGAGTGTGCGCGTGAGTGTGTGCGAGTGTGTGTACAGGTGTGTGTCTGTGTGTGTACAGGTGTGTGTGTGTACAGGTGTGTGTGTGTACAGGTGTGTGTGTGTACAGGTGTGTGTCTGTGTGTGTACAGGTGTGTGTCTGTGTGTGTACAGGTGTGTGTCTGTGTGTGTACAGGTGTGTGTCTGTGTGTGTACAGGTGTGTGTCTGTGTGTGTACAGGTGTGTGTCTGTGTGTGTACAGGTGTGTGTGTGTCCAGGTGTGTGTCTGTGTGTGTACAGGTGTGTGTGTGTCCAGGTGTGTGTCTGTGTGTGTACAGGTGTGTGTGTGTACAGGTGTGTGTCTGTGTGTGTACAGGTGTGTGTGTGTACAGGTGTGTGTACAGGTGTGTGTGTATAACCATCCAGGCACCAAGGAATACGAATTCCTAGGATCAAGAAACTTACCCCTTAACCTAAGATATCGGAAATAAATTAATAGTAATAAGTATATGCATGAAAGACAAAAGTTAAACTTATGGAAAAGCCAGGATAACGGGATGAATCACCACCAGGTCAAATATAAATACATAATAAAAAAAAAACAATGTTAAACCCAGGGTCGGAGAGAAAGGGAGATCCCGGCCGTCTTTGTATCCCCGCAGCGCGGGATAGGAGTGTGTATACGCTCGGGGAAACCTACACTTGAGTCAAGCACCACGATGGGAAACGACAGACCTTAGGTTACATACAGAATCATAACTGTGAAATAGTAAGGGACAAATGTTAACTTAAAACTTTTAACCATTTCTTTGTGCGCCGGGTCGGAGAGAGTGTTGCCCCCCTCCAGGTTGTGCAACACGAACAAAGACGCCTATGAGACGATTTGTAACGTCTGTGTTTTGGGTTCATGAAGAAGGCCAGACAAGAGATAAATTGCACCCAGACAGAGAGACGACTTCGAGACAATTTGTAACATCTGGTTGTTTGCTCGTGGGTTTTATGGAGGGAGTTGACAACGGAATATACCGTCAGTGATGCACACAAGGACATACGGACACACACATGGACACACCTGCCTACGGACAGATCCTGACACAGCAAAAATCGGAAGCCCCGCCTTGTGGGCGGGATCCAGGGGGATTTTTCAGCATAAAGGAGCGGGTCCACTCAGCAGGAGTGCGACGGGAGGGTCCACTCAGAAGCTCGACCGGGAGGGTCGACTCAGCAGGAGTGCGACGGGAGGGTCCACTCAGAAGCTCGACCGGGAGGGTCGACTCAGGAACGAGTGCGACCAGAGCGGGTCCACTCAGGAGTGCGACCAGAGAGTCGACTCAGGAGCGAGGGCGACCAGCGGGTCGACCCAGGAGCGAGCTCGACCGGGAGGGTCGACTCAGGAGCGAGCTGCGACCAGCGGGTCGGCTCGACTCATCTTCAGCTCGTCAATCTCTGCTGCCGCCGGAGATCTCCGCTGCCGCCGGTGGGGAGCGTCGCGACTTGGCGACGATCCAGCGCTGCACGCTACGAGCGAGTTGTGGGCGCCACCTACCGACCGGGTTCCGAACTGCGACAGCGTATCAACAGCCATCCGAGCCAATTCACCACGGTGACAGGAGAGCGCCTGATACGTATGACGCGCACCGCCCCCTCACCACACGACCACCAGGCGTCTGTTTGACATAAAGAATCGACTCCGAACACTGACTATTCAAGACAACTCTTACCACTCAAACACACTCGAACCCATAAGTCATCCGTGGCTGGGAAGGCATCACAACGAGACCGAGTGGTGGCCTCCGTCGTATAAGAGTATTCTTAATTTTTATCTTTAATATTTAGTGGGCTGTACTCTTAATCGCATAAATTCCCAACAGATCCATCAATACGAACTGATTCTTGGCACCTCCTTCCGCCGAGCCACGCTCACGTGGGGAGTGGTGGCCACCGGATCCTTATCAGGTGATCTGGTCCCCAATTAGTAAACTTGGTATAAGATAACGATCTTCGGAAAAGGAGCACCGTCGCAGGCCCTTACTCCGAGCCGTTCTGCTGTCAGATAACCTGCCGATGTATCTGTTGAGATTGGTGCCTTTAAGAATAGTAACTGTTTTGATTGTGTTTTTTTTTTTATCGCCGTATAATCTTTCAAGTATCTTTCAGTCATAATCGCCGCACGTACTCGCATCCTCTACAGAATATTCAACTGTTCCGTGACCCAAGGTGTTAACAACGTGATAAGGGTTGCGTATGATCAATAAGGAGTGCGGTACTGCGTGAACAATATTGAGTATAATCATTTATTAACGTTAAGGTTTTCTTAGCATAGTATTTGCACGTTTTAACGACTCTCTCACTAACAACCATCGCGTTATGCGGGATCCATGTGCCGTTGTCAAAGTGAAATCAGACAATCGTTGATGATACTGTATTGATGCCGTATTGACGTTCCGGGATTGAGAGTTCGCATACTATATCATAGTTAAGGTTGAATTAGTAATAAATTGATCAATACAGAAGTGGTTGTGTGATTCTTTCCTGAAATCTATGCATAAGATCTGCTTCTGCGTTGAGATTTGAACTTGGTGACCTTAATAAACACACTAATACATACTCAGTAAATGTTAAAGCGATAACGGGGTGAACCGGGGTCTGGTTATCATAACGACTTGCGTTATCATAATTACACCCACTCGCATAATTAATACGATTACCTATCGAATTGGCATAATTAAAATGTGCGTAATTACATAATTAACATATTTTCGGATAATTACACATTTGGCCAGATTTCATTTAATTATTATTATTTTCACTGAATATTCATAACCCACATATACAACATAATAATTTCACCCACGCACGCATACAACATAACAAATTTTCATAACCAACATATACAACATAATGGGGGCTCGTCTTCCGGGATCTCTCGCAGACAGTTATGCATGAATTCAGGAACGAATCACTGATGTGTTAATCAAAGTGTTGTGAACTAACGTTGCCTTGTGATTGTAAACGGGGGTATACAAACAAAACGCGCTCTGAAGGGAGGTACCAGAGTAGCAGAGTATAAAAAAGACAGCTGGGCTGAGATTATTTGCTCGAGTTAAACTGACGCATCCTGTGATACAATTGTTTATATGTGCTCTGAAAGGGAATTCTAGAGTAACTCACGACGCACATGAGATGTTAGAATTAAGATACACTCTTAAGTCTATTAACCACACTACATAATAGAGATGGCACAGGATCCACAACATTCTGAGTTTGACACACCAACGCATAACACTGATACAGAGTGGACCTCTGAGGAGGAGATGGAATCTATGGAAAAACAATATCGGGAATTTGTGTTAAAACGTACTGGACGGACTGCTAGCCAGCAGACGGAGCAGAGAGATATATGGGAGGGGAGCCATACAGAAGATGTTAAGGCCCATAGAAGGAAACTACTTAAGGACGTGATGAAATGTGGCAAAGCCAAACGTGACGTAAAAATTGCAGAAATAGCGAGGGTAGACTCGTATCTCATCGCACAGACAGACAGAGAAAGATTATGGAATGAGGAAAAATTTGAAAGGGAGAGACAAGAGAAACTGTCCTTAATGGTGCAGGTAGAGCGTCTGCACGCCCTCGTGAGAGAGAAAGAATCCGCACTAAATGCACCAGTGAAACACCCAGACGTTGATACACAGAACACATACGGGAGTAACAATTTACCACACTCCGAGCCACGGGGACGTAGCCCAGGGCCAGATCCCACAATGAGTGTGGCTACTATGCAAAGCAATTTTGATAAAGTAACACCCTCGCAAATCGAGGAGAGAGAAGAGGAAATAATAATACAAACGGGAAAACATGAGGCCGACCACCCCAACGTTAGAGAGAGACAAATAATTAACCCTAAGTCATCAGGATACACTGTAATGATAGAGCGGGAAAGGGCGGAGCTGGTGCAAGACGGGAAACATGACATAAACAGAACACCAGGCAGACGCACGCTACGCAAGTATGACCGACATGATGCAGATGACAGAGACAGCTCACCAGAGAAACGCACCTCGCACAAACACGACCAACACGACACACGTAACAAGAGCTCACCAGAGAAACGCACCTCGCACAAACACGACCAACACGACACACGTAACAAGAGCTCACCAGAGAGACGCACATCACACAAGCAGGAGCCATGGGATAAGCAGAAATCACCGAGCCAAGTTGACCCACGTAACAGGTGCAAAAGGCACTACAAAAGTGATGTTAAGCAGAGTCATCGTGATGGTGACGGCTCATCTGACAATGACCAACACGACACGGATAACAGGAGCTCACCAGAGAGACGCACATCACACAAGCATGAGCCATGGGATAAGCAGAAATCACCGAGCCAAGTTGACCCACGTAACAGGTGCAAAAGGCACTACAAAAGTTATGTTAAGCAGAGCCACCGTGATGGTGACGGCTCATCTGACACTGACTCCTCTGACAATGACCAACACGACATGGGTACCAGAGAGAGCTCACCAGAGGGACGCATGACATGTAAAAATCACCCACGCAAAACCACCCGCACCAAAAATCACAGAGACAGGAATCCCGATAACCATGAAGCACGAGACAAACATAAATTCAACACCTCACCTAGCAGGCACCACTCACGTAGTAGGCAGCATGAAGGTCGAGGACAAAAACACTCACCACATAGACACCGCTCAAGGAGATCACGCACACCAACCCACAAGCACGAATCACAAGACCCACATAAGGAAAACAAGAGACACAAGCAACGGGACAGATA